GCAAAACGAAAACAGGTTTCATTACATGCATTAGTTGCCAATCAAAACAGACCAATTGTGTCAGTATACCTTTACATCGACTTATCTGTTGATTCTCGCATACAATACAAAGGTAATGCTTACATACACTATACACTATCATTTAATTGTGTAGGTAAATATAGCGGCTTTACTCATCGACTGTTGTGTTAGCCGCTTGGAGCTTGACTGAATAATATATAATAGTAATGTCATGTGATGTATTTGATACATTTAAGTACATGGTATTATATATCATATCATATATTATATATTTATAAATTGTGTTTGGCTAATCACATTAAGTTTGGACCAGACGCCACTGAAGAAAAAAAATACGTAATAGATTATGTACAAATCACAACAATGGTGAAATGAATCATTTTTCATGTAAATATCAACCGGAAGTTGAAGGTTTGGTTAGTGATATGATCGTAGATAGTTAGAGAATTGAGAATATATACATACATTTGTATTAGCCATGACAGCTGAACAAATACACAAGAACACACGAGATATATTTTCTAGTCAATTCTATAGCCTCCCAGTGCCATCCGTAAGTGGTGGTTTCTGAGCATGCATGGCCATAATTGTAATCACAATTCGTTAGTAGCTCTGAATAAATGATGTATATGTTATGAGCTTTTTTTTACTATTTATTTCTAAGAAATATTCATATGGTCTTCAGCCATCAGCATTGTATTTCACAAACAGACGTGCAAGAAGCATCGTACGATCCATAAATACACTTCATTCTATGTAGTTCAGGAAGAATTAAAATACACAGTAAAATGTGCAATTACAATTAATTAATTAAACCAATTGCCACTGATGCCAACTCATTAAAATGTAAGGAATATTGGTTGACAAATCCCAAAACATATCGGCAATGTTAGGAATACTACCCACATTTGTGTTAGTGTTAGTTCAGTTATGAGACTAAGTTCAGATCATGTCCATTTATATTTCTGTCTTCTCTAATGCTATTGGTCAAATTCACGCGTTTTATTTTCAATATTTGTTGCCACAGTAACAAATTACCTGATTAGTATGTATTCGCTGAAATGATTCCATATATTCTTAAAAGGGGTTATTGCTTTAAGGATAGCGTACATAAGACTGACGTTAGACGTTCCATCCACACCCGACAGCGAGAAGGGGGACGTCCGATCTGGGTGGAACGTTTCGAAGTCGTCCGTGGCCCACCTTCAAAGCGACAAGGACCGTTTTAAGGACATATTAAGCAATTTATTAACAGCTTAATTTTCAACGGCATACAGAAACATCACATGAAAATATACAGGGTCTAAAATTATGTCTACTGCAAACCAATTCAAAGGACAAACAGTTTGACATAACATTTTAAAATAACATGTTTAATACAGAAAATCAAGAGGACAGATACATCCGGGCTTTTTGTTTACCATTTCCATTTCGGTATTTTCTTATTTCTACGGGTACATAAAATAATACAGGGAATATTCAGCGTCAGAATATTCACAAACCAGTCCCCCATATCGCATCCTACCAGAGCATTGAAGGAAGACTGCTCTAGAACAATATTCACCTTTGTTAGGTATGTTATACATTCTCAGTTATTTCGATTAATTGAATGAGCATGTGTTATTTATTTTATCACATCGAACAGACATCTACCAGGCACAATCATATCTATCATACATCACACACACCCGCTCTCCCACACAATAACAACACTTATATTTCAAGTATACAATATTTTTATTTTATCTATTATAACAAGTTTCACACTACTCAATAACAAACATACATTTTTTGCTGAAAACAAATGTTATTTTCAGTCACGGATACTTTTTTAGTAACCTTGTTTCAGCTGTGTGAATCACTCAATGACATTAATAACATTATTGAAATGAATTGAGAAATGTTCAAACGCAAGTTATTTGATCAGTCTCCAGATAAAAATGTGGAAGTAAAAAAAGTAATTTCTACCAAAATACCACAAGTCACACAGCTTAGAACGTTTTCAGTTACTATCGGCGTGAAATGCGTAGAAATGTTCACAGCGTAGAACGCGTCGCTGCAACGTTTCAGTAGCGGCTTTGCCGTACATTTTTGCTTCATATAAAAATACCCTAAACATCAGAACAGAGTATTTTACTTAATATCCACTCTAATATTCAATGTCGTGTGACTGAGTCTCAACCAATCATAGCATGCGTAACAGTGGGGAGATGTGATAAACTGATTTATTTTGACAAACACAGTGCAGTTGATTAGCAGGTATCTTTTCATTTAAGATTTAAAAATTGCTGTAAAATGTACTGTTAATAAGCAGTATGACTGACCGGTCTTTCAATTCTCAGCTCTGTCTTATTAAGCTATATATTTTTTATCACCGACAGTGTTACTGGTTCATGTTCTGAAAGCGTTTACCAGATGCCTAATAAATGCCTAAAAATTATTAATAAAATCATTTAAAATGATAATTGAAACATCATTTGCCCAAATTAGTAAATCAGTGTTTCTCAGATACATGTCTTAGCATTGAGCATATTCCAAAAAAAGTCTATATTATCTATCTATTTTATTAGGCTCTATATTAAATTCTAGGCTCTATATTATAATATACGTTTTTTTGTCACGTGACTACTAAATAGTGGGTGAACAAACATATTTATTTTATATATAGTTCAGCCTTTTCTTGTTTAATCGACCTCGTGTACATTATAAAAATGTACACGTCTAGTCGCTATATATCAGTTTTGTAACAAGTCTCATATTAGTTCCGTTATTAATTTGGTATTTACGTGCTATGTAGCTCAGGTATGTGCTCTTTGGAAGCCAACTAGCCCAGTGGCGGATCCAGCAAAATGTATTGGGGGTCCAAGCTTCGCTTAAGATACACGGATCGTAAATCGCAGAGAAGCTATGTGTAATCATATGAATCGTCATGCGTTTGGGGGGGGCATGCCCCTCCCCTGCTCCCCTCTGGATTCGCCACTGAACTAGCCCGATATACATGTTGATGTTTTTTTGTTATTAGTGCTACCAGCTTGTGAATAAAACACCAGTTTCTGTAAACACAGGCAATGCAAGTCATTAGCATAGCCACACCTCCAATAAACACTCGCCCGGGGCAAATGAATCGGGCCTTTAATGTAACTTCTCTTTCCACATGACAACAAATCTAGGTTCTATGCAGCATTCCTATAATAAAAAAACTCAAAGTACACTTTGTAAATGTTATATGCAGTCATGTCCATAATTAAATATGTTCCACATGTTAGACAAATGTACGATCATTACAGCTGAAAAAGTAACAATTGTATACAATGTATAACATAAATGTGATTGCAGATAATCAAACGCATGATTAAAATGTTGAGGTTTGGTTTAAAAATGAAGAGCTTAAATATATGGAAAATGTAAAAATAGACATATATTTATGTCAGTCGGGATAATATACTAATCCATTGAAACATACTCTGATATACATCAATAATCCTTCCAACAATTTACAGTAAAACAGTTTCGTTTGTAATGTTTTCTTAACATAGAAAGGCTTCAAGTGTTTATGTCTATATGTATATAACTATTGTATATAATTTATAACCTGAATGTGATGATTACAGTTCGCCAAATGCTTGTTTAAAACGTCGACCTTTGGCCTATAGTGAAGAGATTGAATTTGTTTATGCCAGTCAGGATAATATACTAATCCATTGAAACCTACACTGGTAGACATCACTATTCCTTTCAACGATTTATACAAGTTCCTTTCCAATATTTTCTTAATTTAGAATCGCTTCAAGTGTTTATCTCTATATGTTGTTTTATAATGTGCTATTACTGATCATTGTGATTGGCCAGTCTTTAAAAGCCGTTGAAAAGCCATTATGTAGCACATATGAAGCAAATATTACTTGTACTTACTTGTTAGTTCAAAAGATCTGTTCATATTATGTGCGTACAATCTACAATATGATACAACAAGCCATGCATGGCACAGTCCCCGTTATTTATCAAATTTAAGATATATAGTTATGTTTATAGCAATATAGCTGGAATATAACCATGTCAGGAATATAATTGTTTCAACATTAAAATGATTGACATTTGTATCTGATCGTCAAACAAGTACTTGTCTATATTGAGAGGTATTGCTCTGGAACAGCATTCAAAATCAGCCATTTATATACATATATAACATGATGTATAACGAATATATAAAATTTGAATATAATCAGTCAAAGCATTTAGGAGATATGGCTCTAGAAGCCCAATCATTAAAACAAAATGGCCGCCAGTCAGCCATTTTGAATCCAATCTGAAAAATGACATGCATCAAGAACCTGTAATGTCTAATGTGTGTTATAAGTTTGAACAAAATCCAAATATTCTAGGATTTTTTTAGCACAAAAAATAGCACACTTTGAAAAGGATCGTCAAACCAATATATCCGTATATCTGTGACATGATCTATAATGAATATTAAAAATTTTAACATAATCAGTCAAAACAAGTCAGACATATGGGTCTGGAAACCTATTCATTAAAACAGAATGGCCACCAGACAGCCATTTTGAATCTGATCTGAAAAATAAAATGACGTGCATCAGGAACCCATAATGTCTAATGTATGTACCAAGTTTTAACGAAATCCATTCATAAATGCCAGAAATGCTTGATATTTGATGATTTTTTAGTACAAAAATGACAACCATTCGGCCATTGTGAATAGGATCGTCAAACCAATATATCTGTCTATCTATGACATGATGTATAATATTTAAAATTTGAACATAATCAGTCAAAACAAGTCGGAGATCTAGATCTAGAAGCCCATTCATTAAAAAAATGGCCGCCAGTTTGCATCAAGGTCCCATAATGTTTTATGTATATATCAAGTTTGAACAAAATCTATCAGTAAACAGCCGAGGAATGCTTGATTTTTATAATTTTTCAGCACAAAAATGGCCACCATTCGGCCATCTTGAATCAGAGTGTAAAACAAAATGATGTGCATCAAGGTCCTATAATGTCCAACGTATATACAAGGTTTGAACAAAATCCATCTGTAAACAGCCAGGAAATGCTCGATTTTGATGATTTTTGCACAAAAATGGCCGCCATTCGGCTATCTTGAATCAGGTCACGAAACAAATTGACGTACATATGTAGGATATCATGTATGATGTATGTGTGAAGTTTTATTGTGATTGGTCCAGGCATTTCTAAGATACAGGTCCGAACGCACGCAAGGACGCACGCAAGGACGCACACACGCACGCACACATGTCTCTGTTTCCGAACTGCGTCCGAACGGGGACTAATTACATCAGAGGCAATTGCAAGTAGTTTAATGAAGGTATAAATATCCCTCAGCAGCAAACACAGAAAGCACCACAAACACACTAATCAGTGCATTACATAATCAAATTACATGTACTTATAACTATATAACACAACTGTGGTTATAGTTTGGCATTTGTCAGGCGCTCAACATTCGTGAGTACGAATTACTGTCCACGAGTTCAATTATGAAGATTTCCGTACTAGTTATTAAATATGCCACGTTTCGTGCGTCAACAATAAAGCATAAACTATCGTCTAATATATTAAACCGATCACACATTTGGAGACCGAGGTTATTTATTATATGCATTATGACTGGATGTGACAGTTAGAGGGACTCAATATTTCCATCAATGCGAACTGTGGCCTATCGTAAATACTAGATCATATGCGACCAATTGTAATGCAACATTCTCAATTTGATATCGAAATTGTCAATACTTAATATTATGTTAAATTCTATAGCGAATGCGTACAAAAAAATCATTATTTCATGAAACGTTCAAATGTGACAAATGTTTGATCAAATATGAATAAATATGAAAATATAAAACTAATATAACCACTAGACGTACATTTTCATAATGTACACGAGGCCGATTATTAAAATTGTTCAACAGCAAACAATGCTAATTGGGACCAAAACATGGCTATATTGATTAAATCATACACTACAGCTGCCCATGTTTGGTTGCCACACATTTGCTTCAGATAAAATCATAAGTCGTCACATGCTATGTTGATTTAGCTATTGTATCTCAATAAACTATTGTATCCAGTGACATATAAACGTTAAGTTGAAATGTTACATGTATAGTTTCACAATAGTGATATGATACATGCAAATAAGATATTAGTACTACCTATTGAACCTAAGAGTTATCATGGGGTCATGTGTTTTGATTCATACCAAAATATATATTTTCCTGAAGCCCTTGTTCCTTGCTTTCACGAAATAGTCACGTGATTACATAAAGGTGTTATCTTGAATTCAAATGATGGGAGTTTTGTCAAAAAGGCAATCTGAAAAATCAAGGCATCATCAGCCCCGTCAATGTCACAAGAGTGTTAGAACATAGATAAAAGTAGATCAATTTCTGACGACACATGAGTCACTCGAATGACCTAGGGTGCTAGAGATCTTCTGCCTGACAACGTCAAAAAACAAAACATTTAGCATCGGGTGGTCTGACTTTTACAGCAAAACACAGAACATGGAGTCTCTTAGTAACCATTGCAGTATTAAAATCTACAATAATAAAGTATTGGGCCCGTATTCGCCTTCCAATAAGAAGCGAATTTGTTACAGTTCACTGTGACCTCGCATAATGTTGAACAGTTCGAGAGATAAATGACATAACTTGTCACTCATTATATATTCAAATCATGTTTACTTGCGAATTGTAGTCTGTAAATCAAACGCTGACCGTGTCGTTTTCATCCTCCCTTTCCCTAAATGAAATTAAATTTCAGTTCTGCCGCCGCTCGATTGAACTTCTTCTATCTGACAGTCGGCCTTCGCTGCAACTTCGGAAACGGCGTTTTTGTACTGATTCTTGATGATGGGCGACGGCAATTGCACAGAAGATAACAATTTGTCTGTCAGATACAAAAAACAATGCAGCTTGCGCATGTGCAGTAGTAGTGATAAATACTTGATATATGAGCAAGTCCAGTGTGTTACCACCATACTCTGTTCAATAAATTCAATTCATCAAGTGATATTAATAGCCATGATACTCATTCCAAATTTGAGGATAAAATAGTGATTGATGTTGATGATTAATGCAACTAAAAATACCACTGTGAAAGTATTAGTAATAAAACAGTTGTATTATAGTATATGTTTTCTGACATGTATATTGGTATTGGGGATTCACACTAATATTGACATTTCAAGTTTACGTACATTGTACGCATTTTCTGTTTCTATCATCCCGGGCAAGTTCCCAAACGTTTCATCAGGACCACTAATTTGTACCACATTATTTGGCTGAGAGGATGTTTTACACTGAATAATAATAATTAATAAGCAGAATACTGCAACACAAAGATTCATGAACTAAAAAACGTCAACAACAACTTTATCAAAATATTAGCACAATTTCTGACACTGTCTTTCTGAAAATTTTACTTTTTCAGTTAAATTGTGCCGAGAAGTCGCACTGCAATTTGTCTTGAAACTATGCAAAACATGGACAGTTGAGTTATCAAAAATAGTGATCAGTGAACTCTAATCTGTTAGCTGTCAAATAAAATTCAAGATATACTTTTTACTTTTTCAGCATCCATCATGATTATAACATTATTATTCGGGCTTAACATGTTGATAGTTATATCGTGCGGTCAGGACCCTGGAAATCCCCCTGATGATTCATGCGTAAATTGTAAAGATGTATTCTTTGATAATGGGGAATGGAATGGTATTTGCACTGAGGAGGTGTCCTGTGCAGATTTCCCGGAAGATGGAGAATATATTGCTGCAAAACAAAAAGAGGATTTGGAAATATCATACTACGCTGGGGATGTATCATTCCTTCCTGGAACACGCACATATGCATACGTTGCAATAGAGGCATCAAAAGTCAACTCCATTGTAGCTGAAGCCATAGTAAGTAAATTGCAATCCTTATGTAAGAAACCAGCTAAACAGTCAACAATATCACTGTATACAAATTATAGACCAGATGGATGGAAATTATACAACAAGCTAAATACATTATTATTGTTAAACGCATTATAAGAAAAATAAATGTAGTATTCCAGTGTGTGCATACTGTCCTGTCTAGACTACTGTAAATTATCATGAGTACAAACCGAAAACAACGTTTTACATTATTTGCCAATCAAAATAGTCCACTCGTGTCAGTATTCTTTTACACCGACGTAACTATTGCCTCTCGCATGCACTCCAGCAGATTATCATTTAATTGTGTAGTTTAAATGTAGTTGGCTGTTTTGTTAGGCGCTTGGAACTCGAATGAATAATAGTTGCATTAAAATGATCTTTTGCATTTAATTATATGGTATTATATAGCATGAAAGCGAACATTTGTATTGTAGGGGAAAATGTTGAGCTTGACAGTCTTAATATATTTATAAATTGTGTCATTTAATAGGGGAAGGGGATTCCTCAGAAAACAGACAATTGTCAATTGTGTGATGTCAGCTTTCGTGAAGATGACTGGTTGATTACAAACTGTCGTGTTTTGGTGAGTATCTTGGTTTGGTTGTTTACGCAAAAAAATGGATCCAAAATGCATACTGTAAATATATACTGTAATCATTTAAAAACTCCAGTAATAGAACCCAAATAAAATTGAATTTTATGAAAGTATGGATTTAATATCTTCGGAAAAGGAAATATATTGTTTTTTAGTTTTTTTTGTTTTTTTGTTTTGTATTAATGAAAAGTTTATGTTTCAATTTTTCTGCAGCCGTGTCCCGTAGTACTGGCTGATCACATTGAATTTGGACCAGACGCCATTGAAGAAAACAAGATACGTAGTAGATTATGTAAAAATCGCAAGAATGGTGAAATAAATCATTTTACATGTAAATATAAACCGGAAGTTGAAGGTTTGGTTAGTGATGTGATCGCAGATAGTTAGACAATTGAGAATATGTACATACATTTGTATTAGCCTTGACAACTGAACAAACACGCGAGCCACACGAGATATATTTTCTAGTCAATTCTATAGCCCTAATGTCAACCCCGAGTAGTTGTTTCTTAGCATGCATGGCCATAATGTAATCACAATTTGTTTGTGAATAAATGATGTACTCAGCAATATGTTATGAGCTTTTTCTATTATTTATTCATAATAAATGTTCATATAATCCGCATTGTATTTCACAAACAACCGAGCAAGAAACATCGTGCGATCCATCAATGCAATTCATTCTATGTAGTTCAGGAAGAATTAAAATACACAGTAAAATGTGCAATTACGATTATTTAATTAAACTAATTGCCACTGTCCAATGATCAAGACGACTTAGCTGTGTCAACATGTGGCCGAGCCATACATATTATCAAATAAAAATTTTATTTAAAGAGGGTAACACAGCAAGTTTTTGCTTACTTTCCCAGGAAATTGAAATTATTAACTATATACAAATTCATTCTAAAATTGAATGTAGTTATAATGTATTAAACCATTTCGATTTTATACTTTCCCGTTCTGAACACACGTGCTCCTACAATGGCTGTTTTTAAAAACTAGCTTGTGTGATCCATGTCCTGCCTAGTATATTGAGGTGTTCAATCGTTAGGTGATTTTGAGAAAATAGACAAGGCACATTACATGAGTGTCTGCCTGTAAGAGT